AGTCCATTATAGACTAGTTAAGTGCTCTAAAGGTAGAAAGAGAGACCTTATGGAAAGCAGTATTTAAGAAATACTGGGATAGTTGTGATCCTTCTCATACTTGATATGGGAAATAGATTCAACAAAAAATAATTGCTAAATCTGGATCTTGTACTGAAATGAGTGCTGTTTATTTTGCTGTCCTCTCTCTTTTACTATTTTGCTTTATTTCTGGAAAAATATTTTATAATGAATGAATGACAAAAATTTCAGAATGAAAGCGTTCCATTTGTTGTGTGACAGGAAAGAAAGAGTACTGTGTTGGATATTAATGGATATTAATTAAGTTTGATGGCAGCCAGGAGCTCTGTGGGAAAGGGGTAAGGAAACAAAGGATAAAGATAAGCAGACAATGAAGTACTGGTAAAAATCCTTTGACTTTATGAAGGTCAGAATAAATCTTGTAGTTTGGATGGATGTACAGAGAGTTGTCTCAAAAGTACCTGCAGAGAATTATGAAAGAATGTCTAGATATGTCTATCTACTGTTTACTGGGACTAGGATCTTACACTTACACTAGGATCTTGCACTAACATACTTTGCTTTCCCTTTATCAAATGTGTGAGTCATTAAGGGAAAATCTGTTCTAAAGCAAAAAAGTTAGAAGCAGGACATCTAAATTAGAAGATATATTGCCATGGTTAAGGGTGTAACTGTCTCCCTACTCAGTATTGTACAGCAATGAACTAGATGGAAAAGTTCACTCTGACCTGTAAGGGAAGTGATTCATTGAAAACAAGAATCATATGCAATGAAATAACCAAATAACTTAAATAAAATTCTTACAGCAAGAACACAGCCAATGAAGTAGACAGTACAAACTTCCCATTAACAAAGTCTATGTCACAACATGTCAAAACCATATTTTCTAATTTCTGATATTCTGCAATAGAATTTTACCAAATCTTTTTAAAGTTTTTCAGTGTTCTCTCATGTTTTATCCTTATTCAAATGGTCCGTATGTCAAGAATGAGAAACCTCAGGAAGGAGTAACCAACATGAATGAATGAAGAAAGAGAGAGGAGAAGGGAAAGAGGAAGAAAGGGGAGGTGGGCTCTGCTTTCAGTAGTATACAGGCAGTTATTCCATGACAATTTCTTCTTAATTACGGAGGAGTCAATCACAAGCAACCCAAATTATGACTGAAACGAGGACTCTCATTTTTGACACACTCCAAATACATTTCACCCCAGACATAATATGGTCTCAGCAATTTGAGTCGAATCCAATGCACTGACTGTTTTTTTTTTCTGGTTTACAGAGCTGGATTCTTTATTCCCTGAACTGTTGCCACTGACTCTTTCAAGCAAAATAATACCACAAATATGGCATACCACTACATACTGTCCATTTCTTTCTGACAAACCTCTGTGCAAATCCACTTATGAGGTAATTAAGTGCAGCATTGCCAGATTTCTCAGATTCACTACACAACTCCATTAGACTTGAACGAATCTTTGTATAATATAAACTTGAAATAAAAAAATTTTTTTTAATTCCAGAATTATCCCTTAAAAAAATAAAAGATTTTGCATTATATATTTTCTTTATAAGCCATTTCATATTATGAAACTTCATCTTATTTTGAAAGACAATATATTTTTTGGAGAAGACAAATTAATTTGAATGACTTCAGTTAGTGGTTATTTGGGATGTTGTTGGCAAGCTGGACCAAGAACAGGCAAAAAATACACAGTTAATTGCTCCAGGGGATAAAAACTCATGCATGGCTTTAAATATTGGAGATCGCTATGAATAAACCTTTAATAAATTTAAAAGAATGATTAAAATGGCAAAGAAAACCCAAAATTTTGAGAAAGTGTAATTTAGGGAGACTTATTCTACCAAGTGTCAAAATGTCTGCAACTATAGCATTTCAGAGAGAGACATAGTTGTGCAGGAAAACACAACAGAACAGGCTGTGGTCTACCTGGTTATTCTTCCACTGTAAGAGAAGGAATGCTGAAATAAGAACCCTCAGGGCAAGCTCACATCCAAGCTGTCTCAAAGGCCTCCAGGCTCCACATACATAAAAACACTGTATTGCACTAGGTCCCCACAAAACCCCTGCCCGTGCACTGCCTGGAAAGATGGGAAGGTTTAATGGAAATTGTCACATTCGAAGCTATTATGAAGGAGAAGTCAGAGTTCACAAGGCATGAAGGGAGGGTGGGGCAGGCAAAGGTAAAACACTTGCTAGGTCTAGTGAAAGGAGCTGACCTATGGCATAGGATTTGCAAAGGATTGGGGTGGGAAAAAGGCTTAAAGAGAGTAGCTGCAAGGTGACAAGAGGCCTTGAACATTATGTTTAGAAATGGTCCAAGGATAATATGTTAAGAAAGCTGACTGGCTCCAATACTATAGAATAGTACAAACTTCAGATTCCAACAAGCTAACTTGCAAGTTTTAACTTTTTCCCATTTACATTAAATAACTTTCTAGAAAAATTACTACTGGAATGTACATCATGTTTTTTTTCAGATACACACAATGTTCATTATGAATACCTTTGTTCTTTTCCACTTACAAATAATCTGTGGACACTTTGAGTGTCTTCACTCCTGAATTTTTTGCCAACTCAAAATTTATTCTTTCCTTTTTTCTCCTGGCATAGCAATGTACATGGTACTTCTCTAAGATCACTTCTTTTTCTGTTATATAATTATTATATTAGAGATTACACTTGCTGTGCCCAAGAAAGCAACAACAGTACTAAGCAGAGCGTTCATCACAGTGGACATAAAAGAAATATTGGTCTAATATTCTTTCTTACAGTGGAACATACAGCATTTTAATACATGAGCTGTTTTGGGGAAGCATATTACTATACATTTAAATAGTGTTTAATTTATTTAAACATAATTTAATTTATATTTTAATCACATAATATTAATATTATAGTTATGAATTGTATTTATTTTGGAAAATTATAAGTAGTATATCAAATCCATGATTTCAACAAAACTATTGTTTAGGGATTGGCTAAGTAAAATGAAAACATTAATCAGAGTAAAGGGATAAAAATGACTCCTCTCCCTGATACTCTTTACTAAGGCACCTTGTGCAATATTTTTCACAGCATTATCATCATTTCACATGTATGTCATTCCTTTCTCCTCATCCTCAGAGTTTAAATTCCAAAAGGGCTTGGATTGTCCTATTTTCTGCTGTATTCCCAGAACTTACAATAATAGCTGGTAAATATTAAGGACTCTTTATCTATCTACTGATAAAGTAGTGGGGGGGAGGGAGAGAGAGAGAGAGAGAGAGAGAGAGAGAGAGAGAAGCAGATACAGAGGAAATTAAGGAGACATGGAAGACAGGAGAAGGAAGAGGGAAAGAGTTGAAGATAAATATACTGTAGCAGGTGTGAAAACATATAATGACTGCAAAGTTGGTCAGGGGTGGATTGGGAAGCACTGTAATAGACAAGAGAACAAGGACTTTGGACAGGTGAGAGAGTGAGATATTATAGGACATTGGACAATAGGCTAAAGCTAGACTATTATGAGACATTAAATTTTCTAGGTTATGTCACTGATCCCCAGGAACACTCCAAATGTTCCACCAGAACTCTGCCATTTTTATTCTGTGATAAAGTTGGAAAATCTTTTAAACTCATTGAGAACATTCAAAATGGAAGCTCCTGATAGAGTCTAGGGTTCTGCCTTAGAGAGTCTGCTATTTTCCAAAGCAAGCATTCTATAGAAAACAGCGATTGCATGAGGGGTCAGAGTATCGTCAGGTCTTTCTTCTAGCTCTAACAGTAAATGGATGTGTGATTTGTAAGGAAGTCCTAATTGCTAAAGTTTAGGAGGTTACTGAAATATAAAGAGGAAGTTAGGGTGTAAGACTCAAAAATTTTTAATCTCCTGGGGGAGGATATATTCATTCAATAAATATTTACTGAGTACTTTCCTAAGCCAGGCATTTCTGCAGACACGTTTAAGACAGGTACTTCCCTTAACTGAGGGGAAAAATATCTCTAATCAAGAAGTTACAAAATACTGCGAGTGATCTAATTAAGTAAATTATTATAAAGTGCCCAGCAAGTTGCCTCAGTGATCAATTTTGCCCAAACATGTTGGACAAAACATGTTAGGGAGGAGGTAATATTTAGGTAGGCTTTAAACTTAACAAATATTGATCTAAATATAACATTTCCCAAAGGAAGAGATGCATAACATTGATGGAAAACAAGCTCTTTTTAGAAATGCACTGAAGTAAAAACATGTTTAGTTTCAACAATTATGGACACATTTTATTATGTTTTTTGAAAGGTTGTATCTAGAAATAAAATACGATTCCCAGGCAGTATTGGACAGGATGTGGCTAAGTAAAAAAAAATAAAGTTAGAGAGTAGGGCTGTCTTCTATAATCCTGGCTCTTCTGATTTCTCTTACTGTTTTATTTTCATTCAAACCATTTGTGTATATTTTTAAAAGTTTTACAGATTCTAGTAGTGACACAAATATGGGAAAAGGAAATCACTAGTACTACTGCGCTTCCATAGATTTGAATCCCACTGCTAGTAACCGCACCATAAACATTGCTTTGGGATATGGAGAACAATAAACCTGGCAAATTTATACAGTCAATTTTAGAGGTGGAAAGGACTTCAGTGCTTTCATTTTATAGATAAAAAACTGATGCCCAGAAAACATTGGCAGTGACTGACAGGACCCACAGACATTACTGAAATATCATTAAGATGACCCAGAACATCTAACTGAATGGAATTTTCTTACTTCTTGTAGCACACCTCAATATGCTGGATGTCTTTAAAGCGTATGGGAATGGGATAGCATTGGTTACTTCATTCAGATATTCAAGTGTGAAGTCATACCAACAATAAAAAGAAAAAAAAACTAATCAAGAACCAAAATTAACAGACCCACAGTATAAGATTTTCTGACCCACAGTATAAGACAATATATTATTGAAGAAAGCATCAAAATTACCTCCAAGGACCATGCCGGCCTGACAGCACTTTCTAAGGCGACATGCTGGGCAATTTTTTCTGCGGATTTTATCAACAATGCAGTCGTTTCTTCCAGCACATAGATAGTTGTGCTGCCCTAAAAAATTAAAAAGTAAAAAATGTTTACAGCATCTTCTACATGATGACAACTGAAACAGAGGACAGATGCACACCAGCAAGGGCTTGACTCTTAGCTGGCCTTTTGCTGGGCATCACTGAGTGCTGTTCAATGCTTTACCTGTGCTCTCAAATGATAAATGCTAAAATATCAAACATTTATGAGGTGTGATTAAAAAATACAAGGGCACACTGCCATTAATGCACCTCAGAATACTCCCCCTCCCTTTGAACACATTTATTCCATCATTCTTGTCACTTTCTAAAGAAGTTCTAGAAGTCCTCTTTTGTCGATACCATGGCTGCCTCAGCGTCCTGCATTGATTCAAAACTTTTCATAGTCATTTTGGAAGACCTGAAAGTTTCACAGCGTCACATTCAGAGAACAGTATGGATGAGCACACAGCATAATGACTTTACAATCCTGCTTTTCCACTGGCTGGCACTCCGCAGCAGCTGGTACTGTATTTTTTATCACAACTAGTAAAGACACTCATGAAAGAGACCTTTCCAAACTGCTGCTTCAAAAAGCGGCAACTTCGTTCAAAGTAAGAGAGAGTATTTTTCGGGAGGTTAATGGTAGTGTGTCTTTTACTGTAATAATTTTTAAAAATTTAAATATTCACCATATTTTTGTTTGTTTGTTAGTTTTTGGTATCGGAGATTGAGCCTGGGTCCTTTCGCTTTCGAGGCAAGCGCCAGAACAACTGCTAAATGCCCGGCCCCACCATAGGTTTTAATCATCTTTCATATTTATACATTTCAACATATATAAGTGTGGAAACTTTAGTTACCTAGTAGAATGTAATTCTTAAATGACTTGGAGAGAGAGAGAGAGAGAGAGAGAGAGAGAGAGAGAGAGAGAGAGAGAGAGAGAGAGAGAGAGAAGAGAGAGAGAGAGGGAGAGAGAGAGCTTAGAAGTCCAACATTTAAAGTTTGAGAAGAGTAAACTCTGGATAACTGAGAGCTATGATATGAAATCACCTTCATACCTTGAAGGGTTGGCCCAACTCATATCACTGGGGACTGCTCTCAACAGACTTGAATGTCTGTGTAAGAAATGTGAAAGTTTAGTCCATTCTAAATTATGACCATTTCTTTTTTTTTTTTTTTGAGACAGGGTCTTGCTTTGTAGTTCAGGCTGGTGCTGAACTCACTATATAGCCCAGGCTGGCCTCAAACATGCAGTGATCCTCCTGCCTCAGCCTCCTGAATGCTGGGATTACAGGTGTGCATCATTATATCTGGCTAGTTATGATCATTTTTAACACTAAGTGTTGGACTATTAAAACTGCAAAGTAGGTACATCATCCTGCAAGCAAAATGTGGGGAGGTTGATCTTCTCTGTACAACTGTTTGAACAAAGAAATGTTGTAGCTAAGTAGTGCCAACTAAAGCTGACGAAGGTAATTTTTAATGGGGCTCAGGCATAGCCTCTGTACCACAGTACTTGGCCAGGACTCAGAGCCACCAAGAAGGCGAGGGACTACTGAGCCTTTCTTGAAGAAAGGGCTACTCCTCTCATGCCATCAGATACTGCCTGAATATTTACTCACCTGGCTAGTAAAGAAACTTCAGGCACAAATGCACAGGCTGGAAATATTTTGTGTTTGTTTGTTTGTTTTTTGAGACAGTGTCTCACTATGTAGTTGAGACTGACCTGGAACTATGTAGCCCAGGCTGGTCTCGAACTCACAGAGATTCTACTGCCTTAGCCTCCCGAGTGCTGGGATTACAGGTGTGTGCCACCACACCTGGCCAGGCTGGAAATATTAAACTGTTAAACTTTGGGATTAAAAATTCAACATAATCAATTGTTACCACTTTTCTTCAGGTAACAGCACTATTTATGTATTGGTTTTGAAAAGCACATCCACATCCAGGTCCACTTGTTCACTCCTTATTTTTATGTCTCAAGCTGTATACTGTTGCTTCTCTTCAGTCTAACATTGTCAGTACGAAATGCTACACATCCCTCTATTAAAACACGCAGAGCATTCCACTTTCAAACATCCATGGTGTCTGTCCATCTTTTCACTACCAGAAGTTATAAGACATCCAGGAGCACTAATTAAGTACATGCTACTGCAAATAACAATCATAATGACAAATAACAGAGAGTTCACTAAAATAGGAGATATTTTCTAGCTCTAGCCTAGAGTATTTGTATCATCTGCCCCTTTGAAACTTAAGGAACTATCTGCTGTATTCTGTAATAAGACATAAAGTTCCTCTTTCTCCTAGGGAAACCCATGACACCTCTTTTAGGGTGGAAAAGGAAGGGGTGAGAACTATTAATGTCTTTCCCTTTCAATTATGTACTCTCTCTTATGTTCTTTGCACTTTGCTGGCACTAACATTCTTGCACTGCTTTTTTTTTTTTTTTTACTTGATTGCTCCCACTGATCTAACCTGACCACTCCCAGAAAGGCTTAGACATTTTTTCTGTGTACAACATGCACATTTGATATATTCTTATTATAAATACTGTATCCTTATCTCTCCTAGATTCTGTAAGGATAGACATTAGGTCTTTTGATTCTTTAACTTTTCTTTTTGAGTTGATAAATATTTGTTGGATAAACATGCATAATTATATTTATTGTTTATAGTTATATAGCTATACTCAATATAAGATCAATAGTATTTTACTTATTGTCACAACTTGCTCCAATTTTGTACCCTCTTTGAGCATTTTTAAATTAGAGATTCTTTGTTTAGCAAATTCCTTGTCTTTTTATAGTAATGACTTACATAGAGTATAACAAGTTTCTATTTAACATCACTGTATGCAGAGAGGATTGCATTATTCCCAAAGAATTTATTTTTAATGAACTACAAAAGGGATTAAGTGATTCGATCTATCTATCTATCTTTATCATCATCATCATTTCTACTTACTCTCAATATTTACCTTCTAAGTGTTTTTTTTTAATTTACTATATATTTTTGGGGGTTACCAAGGATCAAACTCAGGATCTTATGCTTGTGAAGCAGGTGGCAGAACCACTGAGCTAAATCACCGGCTAAATGCTTCTATTGTTAAAAAGATTATGTTGTGTAGTCAGGTGTGTGGTGCACACTTGTAATCCTAGAACTCAGGAAGCTGAAGCAGGAGGATTGCCAATGGAGTTGTCAGCCTGGGCTACACAGTGGGTTCAAGGCCAGCCTGAACTGCATATCAAGATCTTATCTAAAAAAAGAAAATATTATATTGTGAAAATAAAAGCATGATTAAAATGTGATTTGATAAATTAATTGCCTAGTGCCTAATGACTACTTTTAGGTACATGACGAAAATCCATAATAACTAAAACTGTTTCATTATAAACTAGAAAGAGACTTTACCTATAAAGCAAAAATATGTATATCACATTAACTCTTCTTCTTTTGGGGGGGGTACCAGGGATCGAGCTTGCATCCTTGCACTTGTTAGGCAGGTAGCAGAACCACTGAGCTAAATCCCTGGCTCACATTAACTCTTAATCAGAGCACAAATTAATACATTTCACTTCAGTTTGAGAGACACCATTGTGGTAACTATGCAGAAAAATGACAGAAGAAAGCAATCTATGTTCAACAGGCAGAGGAATAAAATATGGAGTCAGCACAGTATGACCCACTGTGGGCTTGAGATAACATGAGCTGATGATATGTATAGTGATGTGAAAAATAATTTCCATATGATCCCATTAATATAAAGTTCCAAAAAAGCAAAAACCAACCTATGATGTTCAAAGTTGGGCTAGCGCTTACTTTCAGGGAGTGTTTGGAAGGGGTAAAATAGGGTTTATGGGATCTTAATGATTTTTAAATTTTTTGATCTGGTGAGAATAAAATGGTTCCATTTACTTAGTGATAATTAATAAACTTTATGTTTAATTTGAGTGTTTTTTGAAAATATTTCTCAATAAGTTTCTTTTTTATTTTTAAATGGTTTCAACTAAAAGGATAATCCCTAGAGGGCACTGTGATCCTACAAAATCTGTACAGGGCCAATCATTGAAGTCTAGAGGCTAAGGGGCACCATCAGAAACAGTCAGAGATTAGAGGCATCCCTGCATTACAGGCTTAGAGTTGGAGATTCCCAGAGAAATACCTCCATGAATCCCCCCACAATACCCCACTAAAGGAAGAATACACAATCACCCACCAAAGAGAGAACGTCAGTGATGGTCACATCCACCTGCTGTGTATAGCCGTGTCCCTCCCTGTTAACCCTTCTTCCCACATCTGGCCCTGGAACAGTCACAGGGCCCAGAAGTAAACAAAGGAGAAGTTGACCTTGTGCATTCTTCTGCTGACTTCAAGCCCTGCACGGGGTAGGCTGAACTGGAACAAAGGAGAAATCTGAAATTTGACGGAAGTTTGGAATTTTGACATAACACTGATCTGCATATTCTGGTTCCTGGAAAGAGACTGTTCTTCTGATTAAACACTGTGGGCCTGGCCTATCATTTCACGCCAAGGATGCTAGAACTAGCCTATGCTGTTTACAAGTTTTACTGGCATCAATATTTGGAAAAAATAACCAAAAAATTATGTAATTATTTTGATCTTACTAGAAATATAAATATAAATCAGAAATTTTCAACTGGAGGCAATCTTGTATACTTCTACGGTGCTTTTCAGGATTTTCACAGTTCCTGGAGACAGTTCTGACCTACACAACTGGGAGGCAGAAAGGTACCAAGGAGAAACCAGGAATGATACCAAACATCCATCCTACAATGCACAAAATGGCTTTGATAAGAAAGAATTACCTGACCCAAGATGTCTATGGTGTGACATTGAGAAATCTTGGTATAAATTTATGATTCTCTCACTTTTTAAAAAAGATTTGTAGCTGGGGATTTAGCTCAGTGGTTTGGCCACTTGCCTCGCAAGCACAGGTACCTGAGTTCAATCCCCAGTACCAAAAAAAATAAAGCAAAAAAATAAAAAAGATGTGTTTGCTAAGTCTGTCTATTGAAAATGTGC